GAGTTGGCGATAGAAAGCAATGCTTGGGATGCTCGTCACCAAAAGAGTTACTCAATTGAGCAGTACTGACAGCAAGTGCTGTTTGATGGGGGAACTAACCTGTATTTATATCTCGATGATGATGTCTGTTGGGTGCATGTGCCAGACATGGCTATAGAAACCATGCCATTATCAAGTGACAGACCCCCTCAGCCCGCACTCGACAACATTCTTGTGATACATAAAAAGGTTCTAAAGGCGTTAACTGCGGGGTTGGAGGTCTCCAATCCAGCTCATATGCTTGGGCTTCTAACCAACCCGGCCAGGTGTAAATGAACTCAAGACAAGCCCGATCACGACTATCCCGCTATGAACTAATTACTGTCGCATTCATATCTAAGTGATGGTCGCATTGCTCCCTGTATCTGACGTATAGGCAATTCCAGACCCACTGCATGCGTCAAAGGTATCGGAGAAAGGTTGTCTGATCGTGGCTTCGAATCTTCTCTACACATTCTTTCCCGCACTTTATGTCACTGTTGGAATACATATCTCGCGTCAGTGGCGCAGTCCACTCCCTGGGCACGAACAGAACGAGGGGTCCATGTTGTGCTATCATGGTCCTTGAAACCTGAGACGGTCTCATGATATGCCTCGTGGCTCGGGCATGCAACACGGCATGAGATTACCACTAAAGTGGTTTCGAGGGTAGATGTTGATACCTTTACTTTGAGGTTTCTTAGTCCCCAAGACATTGACGTTGGGCATATTGTTTGCATGGGTATCTGTTTCCAGATGTCCACATGATGGCCCTGCTTGTGTGAATTGAAATGCTCCGTCATGGTTTGGGGAATGACTTGTAGACATGCCGTCATACTATGAAGACGTAGTATCGCTCTGCATATTATTCCTTTATGGGTACTCTTGTGTCGCCTCAAAGTACCACAGTTACTCACTCGTCGGACCGTCATATCTAACATTCAATCGTAATTTATACTCTTGTTGTTGCAGCCGGTTCGATCTGTATGGCATGAATCTCTTGCTCACTACCCCTGACCGGTTGACTGTCAAGCCATTGTTTCCTCAAATGACAACGAGGCTGTAGTCGTGTATCAGCTGAGGCGCTTTTGCCTTCATACAGTTGGTCGTCCAGCCCAGGTCACCCCCGCAGGCGCTACTCTTTTGCCCCTTTTGTACTCTCCATAACAGGACTCTTGGGGAGTAAATCCTTCGAAAGAGCACCCACTGGTAGGGATCTTCAATGTGGGAGAGGTGGAAATGCGGCACGGTGAATTATCTGTCAAAAGCATATGCAAAACATGAACTTAGGGGGGGGGGGGGCATTGATGGTGGGTCATGGGCCACCGGATAATTTGCAAGCCCCCTCTCGTAGATCGTCACTCATCGAGTCCACCCATGGAAGGAATCATCTGCCATGGCGGCACAACATCGAACTCGGCATACGGAGAGGATATGCGGCGGGGCAAAGAGATACGCACTGCAACGGTGACACCAATTGCTCTAGTCCTAGATGTCCAGGGACCTCTTGGCTGTAGCATATAAGGGATACCGTGACGTCGGACAATATTCAAAAGTAAGGGGAATGGTATATGCAAAGAATCAGCCCGTTGATATAATTAGGGCCATGGGTTGTACAACATCAACAGCCGTGGGGCTAGTCATACCCTCCTTTAGACCTAAGCTGGTGGTCAGAGCTGATGGTAACACGAATACGGCACGGCACACGGTAATGTCTCAAAGAAATAGACGGCACTTGGACTCCAGGGTTACATGCATATCCCTTGACGGACTGGCACGCCGTCCACTGGGTAGCGCATAAGAGACAAGCAGCAGCGACAGATCCGTGCGTACGTTTTGCCGAATACTGATTCTTCCTTCTTACCCCTCTGGCTTCTCTCCCTTCATTGGGCGATAGAAAAAATTCGCGGCGGTTAAACCTGGATATTGTAGCTGAGCGGAAGACGAGCCTCGAGGTTCATCGCCCTAACCAACGTATATCCACATCATGACTGGATGAAGTCACATAATACCATGGTCTTCAGATTCCAGAAAGACTCCACCAGGTTCACGATGGGGATAAATATCTCCTTCTCATCGTTGACCGTCCTCTTACTTAATTCCATGCCGTGAACACCTCTAAAACTGGCCAGGGGTAATCGACATACATGTATATTCACCATTTTGGTAAAAATGCTCCTCATTGAGACTCGCGTGGCCCTATTTGGCATCCTCGGCTTATGCTCCCAGGTTGCTCTCCTTGCCTCCATGCCGAATCTCGCCTCGCCTGCTGCGGTTTCGGATGATATAAGCCCTGCCGACCCGATAAGCCCTCTCACGGATGGGTCGGTAAAGGCAAGTCTTCATCCCCACTACCGCTGTACCAACAACGTGGCAATCCATTTGCTGACTGGATCTGCTTCAGGGAACTTGCGTAGGACGTTTCCACGATAGGCGTTGCATTTGTGTTCCTTTCCACGTGTGCAATTGTCGAGTGAGTGCAGGCCACTGCGTCTGTCAATTGTAGGTGTGGGAAGAATCATTTGAACGAGGTAGAGTCGAGTGTGTCGTTGGTTTCCCATGAAGGCCTGGCAGGAAGTTATCAAACTCTGAATGGATCTTTCTTGTTTTTTTCTTTGCTTTTTTTTCCTTTTTCTCTTTTCCGTTTTGTTTCTGCAATTATCCTCTTCTATGACTGACTGCCCCATAAACTACTAGTACCTGGGCTAGACGTGTGATATGGAACAAGTAAGAGAGTGACTGAGCTACTGCGAGAGTACGGCGGCTAGTACCATGAGCCCTCTTCGGCGCTTGTCAAATCAACCGGTGCCGGTGGCCTAAGCGCAGGATGCCGCGAAGGCAGATCCTTGTTTCTCTTATGCATCGACTCGGAGCGGGGCAAGCAAGATGAGGCGCCGATTGCGTGATCTACCCCCGTTTTCTGCTTCTCGTTGGAGCGCTTCATGTTCCACCCTCCACACAACATACCATCATCAACCATGGTTACCACTATTGAGCCTCAAGAAGATGCTGAAAGGCCGTTGCTCGCCGATTCGCCAGAGCCAAACTATGAAGCCGTAGCAGCGCCCGCGGGCGCGTCGGATGGAGCGCCTCGCGCCACGTTCCGGCGAAACCTGGGGGCCATGGAAGCATTTGGCATCGTCATCAGTATCGTGATCGGTAGTGGGGTCTTCACATCTCCTGGTGCTATCGATACGAACGTTCCATCACCCGGCGCTGCTCTCGTTGTGTGGCTCGTGGGAGGGTTACTGGCTTGGACGGGGGCGACAACGATGGCCGAACTCGGCACAGCAATTTCCGGTGAAGGTCTGCATTTCCGACAGCAAGCTTAGCTGCTTAATTGCCAGGCTCATAGGAGACTAACCCAGCCTACAGGGGGAGTCCAGCCGTATCTGCAGTATGTCTTCGGCGACATCCTCGGCTTCCTCGCCGCATGGACGTGGATCATCGCCGTGATGCCGGCGACGCTCGCCATCCTCAGCATTGTTTTTGTTGAAAGTATCTACTCTGCTGCTGGGATAACTAATCAGGCGGCTTCGATCCAACACAAGCTTCTCTCCATTCTGGTGTTGATCGTGATTGGGGTAGCCAACTCGATCAGCACAAAGGTTAGCACACGGCTGAGCAGTTTCTTCGTGACGACGAAATTTGCTACAATCACTGGAATCGTGCTTGCAGGACTCCTGGTAGTGATTGTCCATTTATCAAGCACACACTGGGACGGGCCAGCAACGGACTGGTATACGAAGTCGTGGTTTGGCTACCGGGACTCCCTCACTCCAGATGGACAAGAGATCCATTGGAGCGATCTGGCTGGATGGGAAATGCTCGGCCACTATTCAGCTGCGCTTTATGGTGCACTGTGGGCTTACTCAGGCTGGGACAAAGTAGGTATCCGCAGCTCACCGAGAGAATGGCACAGTGGAACTGACACCCCCGACTGGAAGGCTATCTACATTACAGCAGAGTTGTCTGCACCGGCTTCTCAGCTTCCCCTCGCCATTAATATGGCGGTTCCCATCGTTATTCTTTGCTTCATCGCAGCCAACACCGCGTACTACATTCTTCTTCCGTGGAGCGTAGTTTCAACAACAGATAGCGTTGCCGTGGTATGTCCCCGTACTATCTTCCGTAGATTCATGTCTAACGAACGGTGAGACCGCTATTACGCATCTTTTAGGTCCGGTAGCGGGCATTATCGCAGCGGTCTTGATCTGTCTTGTGGTAGCTGGGTCCTTGCTGGGGAATTCGTTCGTCGCCGGTCGCATGGTCGTTGCAGCGTCTAATTCGAACTGGCTGCCGCAGTTTCTAGGAATTCTCGGACGGTTGGGCCTTCCATCCACTGAGAATATTGCCTCTGCACTTTCGTCCGACTTAAGCCATTCGAACGGTAAATCGGACGCGCCGATCAACGCGATCGTCTTGTCTACCGCGCTTCCTATCTTCTACATTCTCTTCGGGGACTTCCGGGCCCTCCTGACCTTTAATGGACTGGGGGAGTACACGTTCTTCTTGTTGACTGTCGTCGGAGCGATCATCTTGCGATTTCGCGAACCAGATCTACACCGTCCCTACAAGCCCTCTATTATTATTCCCATCACCTTTGCCATAGTCAGTGGATTTGTGGTGGTGCGAGGGGCTATTTTTGCCCCTGTACAAGCTTTGGTCCTGCTCTCGCTGTGGATAATTGGAGTGGGATATTATGAGGTCCGGAAAAGATGGGCAGTGGACCGAAATGCATGATGCGCGACAGCCAGAGAGGTATATCGAGCTGGCACGCAAGGGCGATTGGATGAGTTTGTCGTCCGGGACGTATATACATCACGTCCCAACACAGCCATGCCTTTCTTATCCCCGTCTACGGGATTCTGAAGTTGAAAGCTTTGAGTGATACGTCGTCTTCAGAGTACAATTGCCTAGTAGTGCAGAAAAAACTCGATCGGCTGCAGGGTTTCTAGCTATATTGAAAGGGAGGAACCCTCTCAAGCACAAACAGGACCGGAATTGGGTGGAGATGCCGAGCTCGTAGGATTCGTCTGTGAGCAGCCGGCGACAAGCCCCCCCGCGAAATCGTCCACGGCCGCATTGTAGGCGTTACCGCAGTTTGGGTCACTGTCAGCGTTGCATGGTTAGCATCCGCCTCAAACTTAGCTAATAGGTCCATATGGGTTCAGCTTGCCTTGCACCTCCGCTAGCATCATTGAAATATGAGCAGATATCATGAGAGAAGCAGTCCTGTGTGTACACGTTCCCTAGCGCGGTGCCAGAGCAGCCTGCACCACAGCGGCCGTTGCAAGAATAGCTATGCGATAGCCACGCTCATTAGACAGCTGATTTTATGTTTCACGGCGCAGAAAATACGTACTCTCCATTGCCTGCGCTGTTGGCACCGTAATTGCTCCCGACCACTCCAACAAAAGAACAGGTTTGCCCGGCACTATTGGTCCAGGTTGCCGTTGCTGATTGCCCGACTGTGAGGCAGGTAATAGACCGTTTGCCTAGGTTGCTGGAAGGGGCAGAAGGTACGGCCATGCTGGCCAATGGGAATAAGAAGAGTATTTTATAGAGCATAGACATCTTGAAGACTGAGACACGCCTCGGTGCAGGAGCTGAATATCTGTGCAAGGTACCTCAACGCGGCGTCACACGTGTATTTGAATGTGCCGAAGCAATAGTCACATTACAGGCTTCGATCTCCATCAACTCCTTTTTCTTCATTTTAAGCTATTCTAGTACCTGGTATAGATCGGCGTCGTACTCTAGCTGTATACTATCTGAGCATGGGCTCATAGGGCCCGGAGATATTCTCGGAGCCCTTATTCTTCAGGCTTTACCGTTCTCAGGCTCTTGGCCGGTCCATATGCGGGGTCTGCAGAATTAGGGCATGGCATCATCCTTAGTAGAATGGCGATCCCCCGAGCCCTAGCTTGGCTTGCTATATGGCTGTTCTGACATCTTTGGCGCATTGTCCGCCCACTAGCAAGACGTAGCTGTCTTTTCATTGGCGCATTTGCCATTCCAGGCACGGCAATTGTCTGACATACTTGGCATTTCCTTTCTCTCAACCAGTCTACCACTGGTGCCTCTCAATTTCCCACAAGTACACGCTTTAACTAGTGTATGCTGATTGGGAGAAACTTGACGACAATTTATTCTGACTCTCCTATATACTTTATGTATCAACGTGCCTAATAAAAGGAGAAAAGACCCCGGAGGAATATCCGCTTTCGGTCCCTCGCAAAGGCCGCCAATTGCGACAAGTTGCCAGGTGAAAATCAAATTGTAGGCCTTATGTCTCACAGTGCTCCTGATGATTTTGTTTGGGATGCTGTTGGCTGAAGTACGCAGAACGATGTCCGATGCAACAGCTTGGCAGTGGGCACTCTCAAGGTCCTATCTCCGTGATGGAGGCTCGCCCATCCATATCAATATATGCACCATGCAATTTGAGGAGCCCTCCTATCAACAATTTCCATGGAACGAGGACATGTCGCTTGCTGCAAACAAAAGATGTATCGGGTGTGTAAGTAGATAGATAGTGAAACAATTCGCGACTTGAATATTGCTCATCGCTAGTGAGATCAGTAGGGAAAGCGAACGACTTCATACCGTGCCCAACACATTTCACCTGTGGCCGAGGAACTTTTCAGTGAAATATGAGCCTCTTCAGCAACAGCCATCCCTATATCGCTTCTCCCATTCCTCAAATTTAAGCCGTTGTGGGGACCTCCAGGTCCTTGCATTATGAAACATCTGGGGCTCCCAAGTGTTGCGGGCTCAAACAGCTGCGATATCCCCAAGTTCCAGGACTGTCTCACAAATCGTACCTCCATATCTATGTAGTCAATGAACCTTACCTACGGCCACATTATCATATGAGTATTGCGTTTTATTGATAGCCAAATATCCAGAATACATGCGCAGGTGATTGATCACAATGGTGGATAAAAGAATTCACACGTCTGCTTCTTTTCATTCGTTTTTGTGCTGAGTCCTATGGCTGCAAAGTTATCCGGTGGCGGCGCATTCATAGTTATAATTCGCTATTACCGAGGCATGCGTAAATAGTATCGCTGGGTAGTGATACTGCGCGAGTTAGCGATGATCAACTGCTAGGTATAAGCGTATCGTCGTATTGCTGGGACTCGTTTGTCCCCGGGTGTTATTATCGGCATAAGGAACACTATGGCTGTCTGCACAATCGGACTCTCCAGGCATTTTCTAGGAGCATTAGTCCATCTTAAATTTGGCTCGGCTGTCGGATGTTCTTCGGACGCTATCTTACCTGGCATATTGTGCCTGAAATTTGAGCCCTGCGGTGGTGAAACAGGATCACCTCGGATAGATGAGTGATCGACAAAGGCACTTGAATATACCACAGTCTATGCCGGTGAAGATAGTGAAAGCCCGTACTTTCAGCTCGATTCAGTATGAAACAGCTCTTCCGGGTGATCATGCACCAATGTCTTCAGGTTACTGGAACACATAGTTGCCCGATATGCCGATTATTCCATTGCTCAGAGGTATTTAAACCAGACGGCCACGCATCGTGGACATCATCAAGATCATCAAGCAACCATCTCATCACTTTACATCACAGTCAATCTATTATTCCCCTAGGTTATAAACCAGACCGTACCGTCAAAATGAAGTTCTCTATCTCGTCTGCGTTGCTGGTCAGCGCCACACTTTCCTCCGTTGGCAATGCCGCTTTCCCAAACGTCCCGGAGACGTGTTTGGAGATTCCCCAAGTCCTCGGCCAAAAGCCCTTCAAGCTGATGCAATACTTCCATACACAGGTTTGTGAGAAGGCCAATTGTACTGCCACAATCAACCAGCACAATCAGTATCTCCACAACAACGTCCTCCCACAACTCATCCAGGACGTAAACACCAAGCTGGGTGTGTCCGCCAGCGAGCAGGCATTGTACAACCAAACGAGCACCCAGCTCATTGCAGCAGTGCAGAAGAGCTGCGCAGCTGAAGGAAACAAGCCTCTCTGCAACAATCCAGAAGGGCTGTTTGACTATGGCGCCTGTGCGTTCAAAGCCTCCCAGCCAATTCTGGAGAAGCAGGTCAAGCAACTTTCCAGCTCGGTTCAGCTTACTGAGGAAAAATGCCAACAGATCAAACAGCTGGACTCGGACCAGACTGCATGGTCCAAGACTCTTCCTGGATACATTGACCGATTCGCCGCGATGTGCGAGAAGGACAACTAGAGGTAGGTATTTTACCGAAGCACAACTGTCTCTGTGATAATAATTGCTAATTGGGTGTAGTTGGCTGTCTTGTTGTCGATCCTCCCGTATGGAGCCGACTTCTGAAGCTGTGGGGACACAGCGTTAGAAGTCCGTTCCCATGAGGTGCTAGCCAGACTTTGAGAATATTTATATGTACCGTGTCACTCGTTAAGATGTTAGTTAGGTCACTATTGCAAGCAATGATTGAGATCCAAGACAGTGTCAAATTGTCTCTCCCCGTGTGTGAATGTCTTATAACCGTGTCGTTATGCTCTCTTGCAATGAATTCGATCGAGTCATAGTATTGACTCACCTGTATCGAGTATAACAAGCAGACCGAGCTGGTTCAAGCAGCCGATGAAATCCAATTATCTGAATATCAAGCATTCTGCTGTCGATATCATTGTCCATGTCACTAACCCCGGTTCTATCATACGAGCCAACAATGGGCGGGGTTAATTGACATGCCACCCTTTTTGCGAAGATATAATAGATTCGCTGATAATGTACTACTGTAGAAAGCACAAGGCCTTTGTCGACGCAGAGTGGGATTAATATACACATAAAAATACAGCGCTTCGTTTCCTTACACTATTCTGAGTCGTCCGATTGAAGAGTCCGTCCATTGATAGCCAGAAGCTCGACGTTACTATCATTGTCATGAGTGCCTGCTCAGATCCGGGCTCAAGTAAAGCAGCGACTTACAAGACCAGAGTTGAATTACCAGGGATAAATGGAGGTGCGCCCCTTCATTCTTTGTGAGCATGACGCGTACCAACAGTTCAAGCAAGGAGGACTTACCTTGCACCATATCCGTAGTGACTGCGCTCGCGCCAAGCAAAAACGGTTAGTAGAAGCTCCAGAGGGTACTCGCGCATAAAGAGATGCTTACGGCCCAAAGGTAAGGAGAGCCTTTTCACCAAGGCTCATACCAAGAATGCCAACCTCCCATCCTGGTGTATAGTTAGTGGAACTGCCACGAAGCTGATAGGGATGGCTATGTACATACCTTTGATGACCGTGCCCATGCCGATCTGGAACGTGAAGGGGATTCCTCGCTTGATACTGCTATCGAACCTGAGCGAGAGACATGATTAGAAAGCTATACAAGAATCTCCTGTGGGTTGTAATATATCTGGCGACCTACCGACGCCCGCGGTTCCATGATCGGGTCGGATCATAAAGATAGCCGTGGTAGTGGACCGTGACCATATCGCCGGCTTTGGGGTAATCCACCCCATTACCGGGGCGAATAATATCTTTAATGAAGTCGATGATACCCATTTTTGCATAAAAGTTGAACAACGAGGTGGACGACAGGAATCAATCCCACGAATTGTTCCAGCAAACATTGTCGGAAGACCGGGGAAACATCCCGAGGGTCACGTGGCGGCCTCCCCACGCGTCTTCCTTCTGAACCACAACTATGCGGTAGGAGGAGGTCGTCATTTTATCTCATTGACCGTGGGAATGTTGTATCTATAAAATCCAGGCATCCGTTCGTCTATGATGTGCGTGTATTGTGAGGTAAAAGCTTATTGAATGCTTGTCGCGACCGTGAATCCTATCAGAGGGAGACACGAGGTTGTATTCATTGAGTATCCTAGAGGAACCGTACCAAGAATATCGCTAATTAACCCAGTGGCTGCTGTGTTACCTGGTGTCCGGTTTTCTTATGTCGAAGGGCCAATCACTCAATTTTCCCCGTCGATGAGGAAGGATGGTCGTGGAAGCTACTAGGTACTGTTTTGGAGCATTATGAAGATCGTAGATAGCAAAGCAGGTGATGGCGCTTCGGGTACCGATCTCCAGGTAGTAGTTGGAAATCGTGGGGCCCAAGTTTGTATCTATTGAAGGACATTCCCTATGCGAGGAACCCAAGAGCTAAGCTCTTAAAGTGGAGCAGTCGGATGGTGTCCCCTTTAGAAACCCTGTAAACTGCAAGTGGGGCCTTATGTCTTAAGGTATAGGATGAACCCAGCTGAAGGATGAGCACTTCCCATGTCCGCTGATAGAAGGCAAAGCAAGGAGTTAGATTTCACATTTGTTCTCTCAAGGACGCCGATATATCAAGGATGGAGTACGGAGTACATACGTAGAAGTTAGGGTTGACCAGCCAACGACCTTGTATGACTTGTCACTTGGGCCTGTTCACCGCCCACCGCATGCGACATCAAGTATATAAATATATCTGATGTCATGATGAACCCCTTACAACTCCCTGGATGCCGAGATATAATACGATATCTATCCAGTCCAGTCAATCCTTTTGCTGTACCAACATTCACTTGGCTTGTATTAACGTCGATCCGGTGCAATTGACATCATGAAGTCCTATATACACTACGCCGTTCTCCTCCTTGCAGCTCCCTTGGTGACCGCGAAGAAGACCAACCTGCAATGGGCGATATGTGATTCAGACCCTCAGACGGTTCTTCGAAAGCTGGGACTGGGAACACCCGACCCTTACAAGGAGAATCCGATCACCTACTATGACACACAACCCCCGGTCTACATCTCCGATGGCCTCATGTTCCGCACCAAGACCTCAAAAGGCGAAAACATCTCCACGGTGAAAGTACGATTCCAGCAGGAAACCTCCGATGTCCCCGACTCCGCTGAGTGTGTCTGGGATCGCTACGGTGAAAATCCCACGTTTACCTGCGAGAAGCGATGTCCCTTGCGGGAATCTAGCATCTGGTGCGACCAACAAGTCGAGCTCGCGGAACATTACAAAACGGTCAACTGGGAGGAGCTTACGAATTATGGTCCGTATCACAATGCCAAGTGGAAGATGCGGATCGAAGGTTATAAAGCCAAGTTCGATGACGTCGCCGCCGGCTCACTGCACCTGATGGAAATCGAGGCCAAAATACCCAAAAAGAAGGCAGATAAGGCTTATGAGACAGTGACTCAATACTTGAAAAGCCGTGGGATTGTATTGTGTGACCCACAAGAAGGGAAAACTGCCAGGCTCTTCCGCGCCATGGGCTACATTGAGGATAGGGGAGACGATCTTTAAAGAACGGTGAGCTGGTTTTGTACTTGTGTCGGTGCCTCGGAGGCTCTCTAGGATAGTGTACTGGTGGTATAGTATACACTATAACGCCAGAAACCCTCATGCACGATTGAGTAATATGAACATTACAATTACTCATCTCAATTATATCTCATTCGTCGGCGTTACCATGGTATGTCGATTTACAGTGGCTTTGTTTCGAGTGGCGGCTCCAAGAAGAACCTATACCCGCTGCAATTCACGGAGAGTGGCTCACTCATAATTCTCCATCACCTGCTACTAAGGTTACTTTTTCAATTTTCGCTCTCAAGTTTCCTTGAGCTCTGAACATGGATTGATTAGCAGTTTTACGTCAGGGGTTTCGCCAGCCAGGTTCACCATCGCACAAATCGGACCCACCTGGGATGTAGCTGTGGAATGACCTCGTCTTGACGGGTACAGCCGGGATGGAACTGCGTTCGTATATAGATAGACTTCTCCCGACCATCTTCCAGCGGTCTCACTGATCCAACGTTCTCTCCTACAATTCCAACTCAATACTCATAACTTGGCAGCCAAGCCCGTCAGATCGTCGGAAGCATGATGTTCTTGAGGCCAACAACAAAGGGCCAAAACCTCCAGTGGTGTTGACACGGCGTTACTTCGGCGGGCATTTTCTTCTCTGAGTCTCGGTTGGTTTCCGCCTATAGTTCACAACCCTGTAGATATCTTGAGCCCTGCGTGCCCCATCGCACTAAGTGCTGGCGGGACCCTGTGCGTATTAGCAATAGTGACACAATGCGCAGTGCTAACGCTCAAGGGTATGGAAGAAAGTGGCATGACCGTAGCTTCATACAGGATGCGCAAGCTTATCTCAACTGTAGCCATGTTTCCTTCATGGTATTCCGTCGTCCATGTCATCTAATTGTTAATTAGATAGGGTGCTACCTCACTACGACGAGCTTTCGCGTGGCTTCGGGGTTTCTTTCGACATCCAGCAATCTCGGGCGGTGGAGTTTTCTTGGTCGCTGCACGTGCATTCGACGCAGCAAAGGGTCGCCCTAGAGCGATTCTGTCGAGTTGGACTACAATGGCTAGTGGGCAGATGCAGAAGCATGTCTCAGTGTTTGGAGAGATAGAGATGGGAAACTTGCTCTGCAGGCTGTTAATGCGCGATGTGTGGGTGGATTCCTCACGGAGTGTCCATTATGGAGGTTCCCACTCCCATTCCACTAAAAAGCCAATATTGGGTGGCCTCTTGCCTTGCAAGAAATGGCATGTTTAATATAATATTATAGGCGGCGGATTATGACCCACTTAAACAAAATATAGCTGTGTCTTCGGTTCCTTTCTGTTCTGGTCCAATAACCGGAAGAAAATGGGAGACAAGCGTCCTGTGATTTTCCTTTTAGCTGGAAGCAAGCAGATCGAAGATAAGAGAAGGTCAAAAAAATACAAAAAAATAATAATAAAGGTGTCAGGACAGAGCACAGGCGAAGGATTGCATTGATACTAGCTTTCTTTGGGAACCCTATCTCACCCTCTCATATTGACCAGAGCCATAGATCGGCCTTTTGGTACCTCGCTATCTCGCAATTAGCATTGAGTGCCAAAGCCCACCGAATAACATAACACGTTCTTCCCTCGGCTCGGAGGAAATCAGGCGATCTGTTCTTTGAAGGATGTTGCTTGGCAATATATTTGGCTGCTATATAACTCACTGAACTATAGCCAAGACAGAGCTTGATGCTTGGCAAGAGGAAGAATACAATATCTCGGGGCCTTGACCGGACTATTAGCAGGGGAAGATGCCACGGGACCGCAGGAGTGTGGGCCTTCATGAGTGTAGTTGCAGCTGCCATGGGGTAAATGAGGTTAATAGCTAGGGTTTCTCATGTTGATACGAGGAGTAGTTCGGAGATGGGACCGCTAGCCAAGCCTCGGATTCAGGCAAGTCAACATTGTGAGCCTTCAAGACATGATGTTATCCAAATCCCCTCTTCTATATCTATCCACTAACGACTAGGTGGGCTCAGCCAATATAAATATGGACGGCTTGCTCCTACGCCTGCTCTCTTCAGAGTAAACTCTCGCGTGCACCACACCTCCACGATCCAAGACGACTGAGCTTGACCATGTACCATCTTTTATTCAGTCTCCTGAGCCTGGTGGCGGGAACCGTTTATGCAGCTCCAGTTCCGGAGGTCTCCAGCGTGAACACTGTCCGCCACGGCCCTCCACCGGGCTGTCTCACTGTTGGCACCGCCGGACAGCATCATACCGTGGGAGCTGCACTGAGCGCCCTCGGCTCTTCATCCTCACCGGCCTGTATCTACATCGCTCAGGGAACGTACAAAGAGAAAGTTATCATTGACTACAAAGGCGCTTTGACTCTGTACGGTGAGACCTCAGACACCTCATCGTACAAGGGAAATGGTGTCACGATCACCCATACTATCTCTTCCGACGACGCTGGCACCCTGGATGATAGCGCTACACTGCGAGTGAGATCGAATGACTTCAAAATGTACAATATCAACGTGGTGAACGGATATGGGCCAGGTAAACAGGCGCTTGCGTAAGTGCACCCTTACTATGCTGATCCAGATATGCCAAAAGGTACCTAACCAGAGCAACGCGAGATAGACTATCTGCAGATGCCAACCACCTGGGCTTTTATGGCTGCCAATTCCGTGGCTACCAAGATACCGTCTTTACTAAGACAGGAACCCAATTTTTCTCCAAATGCTTGATCCAGGGTAAGTCGAATACCCTTTCGGTGGGATGCCTTTTTGACAACGACCGCAGGGTCGGTGGATTACATCTTCGGTGGTGGATCGGCTTGGTTCAACCAATGTGATATCCGCTCCACTGCTCCTGGTTATATCACTGCCAGCGGACGCGAGAAGGCCGACAATTCCTGGCTCGCCTTTGATCGCTGTACCATTACCGGAGCTGGCGGCGTGGACCTTAAGGAGAGGGTTTTTCTGGGAAGGCCGTGGCGGCCTCTTGCACGGGTTATCTATCAAAATTCGGATATGAGTGACGTTGTTTCACCAAAGGGATGGAGCCCCATGGCCAAGGGCGCCACTCCACTCTTCTACGAATTCAAAAACACCGGAGCGGGTTCGAGCACATCGAAGCGAGAATTTTTGTCGCCCATCGCTGCTGCTGTCACGCGAGAGAGTGTTTTGGGCAATGACGCTGCTCATTGGGTTGATGCGCGATACTAGAAGGTCACAGGGTAACAAACACGGCTCACAGAAAAGCCAAGGGGGGTTATGTTAGCCCAGTTTGGGGGGATCCACAGTTCTTGGGCGGGTTTGGGACTTCCCAGCCGTGTCTTGTGGTGCTATGAAATGACGAGGCTTCGAAACACTCTCTTTTGATCGACCCCGGAGAATTACTTGTTCCGCATCCGCAGGCTATTATTAGATGGAAATTAACGAAATCCACTTCCTGCTTCCATATTGCTCCGTGCATCATGGAGCTCTGTTCTTTGACTGTGAGAGAGCTAGATATGCACTCCTCCCACCAATTGAAAATGTGATGAAAGCCATGAAAGTCCATGTAACATGGAAACCCAACAATAGGCATTCGAGATCTCTTGCAGCTACTATACGAAATTATAAACCTTGGCAAGCAACTTGAACATCTCAGGAAAGTTCTCCCAAGCACCAGAAGGAACAAAGCTTATATGTGGGCCCTCAGTATTTAAGGACACTTTGGTGTTTTGTGCAGCCGTGGAGGACTTGTTGGGGAAGATCAACACTAGAGCAACCCCTATTGAGTCGATGGGGACTTCAGGCACTTCCAAGGCCCTCACGATCTATCAAGACGGAAGAGGTTATTAGTAATGTTGAGAGATAGTTAGTTAGTTGCCAGTACTTTCTTAGTCTCTAGGTACACTAGGTGTAGGTACCGACGTGGATCTTTTTTGTGCATTCCCCGTCCACACATCTTGTACACCATGTATAGCGGGAAACACCAAAAAATAACCTCTGACCAGAATACGTCAGAAGCCTGACTTAGAAAATCGGCGACTACTAGCCTCACAAGGGCCACTCACCACATGGCGAGCCGACTGTACGGAGGAGAAGCGAAAATGGTAACTAAACCCCGGCAGATGGGTTTATACGGAGTATTAGGGGGAACCGCAAGAAACTTCAGGTGGAGACATCAAGCCCTTCGATCCAATAACCCCGTCGAGATTCCGATGAAGGAGCACTAATCGAGGAAAGGCTCGTGCGGTAGAGATCCACTTTACTGCCCACGATTCAACCCGGCATTTGTGAGACGAACCCAGAGGATCCGGGCTGGCTGAGCTCAACCCCTCTTTTGCTCTGGATGATGGATTTATGGGCTGCTCTACGATAGGGAGGCTTTCCATGTTCTTCTTCAACAAGAGCTCACGCGTCCCAGATACCTCATACTCAGTATTGGGGTACATATGCCTTGATAGCATGGGCTTCTGATAACGCTAAGATGATATATGCGGCTCTATCGTTATTAAAATTGCCCGAAGAACCCCAGAGTTATTCAGTAGATAACCTTCAATTTGCTGTCGTTCCTGGGAAGTCATTCTTGGAAATAACCCAACAAGGTAAAATGGTGGGCCGCGACTGCACCATGCTGCATGTAAGCGAAATGAACCATGGCCTGAGTGCCCGATATAGTTAGAAGGGATGGTTTGACGCCCTAATGACTCGCGTAGGCCGAGGGAACCACGGATCAAGGCCTCGTGGTTGATCTCCACTCGGGTCAGATAAGCGAGATCCAGTTCCTTAACCTGCCGGCAAATACTAGAAGATCGCCGTCCGAGATTTTAACAATAAGTCTAGGCTCCTATCTTTTGGTTTTTTTCTCTTCCTCTTTACTAACGTCATTCTTTCTGTTACACGCTCGTTGTCTTTCCTTTTGTCCCTCCGCTATGGTTTATATCTAGAAAGCATGGTGTGCCGCGTCAAGTCATGAGGGAACCCCCAGCTTTGTCGTGCCATTTCTGTTACAGGTATTTGCTCATTCCTGATTACAAGAGACGGATATGATCCCCAGGAGAGGTAACTGTTTATCGGAAAATGAGTCCCTAACAGACGTAGGTCAAGTGCCCACTCTCGTTGAACGTCGAACGTAGCCCTTGTTAGGGTGGCATGCCCTCATGGAAATGGATACCTCCATGCCCCTAGTAGGGCGAAGTCGTGCTATTTTCACTGTCTGCGTGGTGATGATGTGCCTCTCGATCGTGGCTGTCATACTGCGTGTCTTTGTTCGATCTTATATTGTGCGAGCCTTCGGATGGGATGATACATTGATGGTAGCAGCGGTGGTCGGTCTACCATAAACCGCATGTCAGAACCACGGATTATGCTGACTGAGAGCAGGCACTGTTCACATTCCTGAATATCTGTTGCATTATTGGAACCAAAAACGGTGTGGGCCATCAGCTCAAGGACTTTACAAGCCTGGATACGCTGCAAAAAGCAATGCTGGTATGATAGAGGCAGACCCATGTGCCGTATAAGAGGTTTAATATAGAACAATGCTAAGAGACCCGCGCCGGCATCAGTGGTGGTGGTTAGGTCAAATGCTCTACATTTGGTCGTCGGCAGTCGCCAAGGTTTCCATCGCCCTGGCCCTTATTCGGTTGACAGTACGGAAGATACACTTGATTATTCTTTGGACAGTTATTGCGGTCGTCATTGCGATCGGTCTTATGTTCTGGCTCGTCCTGCTGTTTGACTGCAACCCAGTCTCTTACTTTTGGGAACGCCTTAATCCACTCAAGTCTGGGACGTGCTTATCGACCGATATCCTTCTTGCCATCGCATATCTTTACAGCGCAATTACCATCTTCTGCGATTTTACCTTGGAATATTCCCCGTCTTTTTGATCTGGAGCCTGCAGATGAACGGGAGGACAAAGGCTGCTTTGGGTGGGATTCTAAGCATGGGCGCCATGTTCGTCTCTCCTTGCGCATCTACGCTGCCGCCGTGTGATCCGTCTGTGCTGATATTATTCTTTAGTGCCAGCGTCGCTGTTGTGATTCGACTCCCGTTTCTGCAAAACTATAAAGATACGGACTTTCTTTGTAAGTTGCAACGAACCCACCATAGGACGTATCAAGCACTCCCCATATGGGATACCCTTTCCCGTGGATTGTGTATCTTGCGATCGATACTCATAGTTTTGTTAGATTCAACGTACCAAATTGCAATTTGGTCGGTCATGGAGACCGGCCTTGCTATCATCGCCGGAAGTCTCATTACACTGCGCCCTCTATTCCGTTGGTTTCTAGATGGAACCGTTTCTTATCCTCCAAGCGAACGTAGGGGGAAGTATCCCCTATCGAGCCTTACCGGAAATACCTCCAAGACCGCCGGCTCTCGCGACCCTAGGTATTGGCGTCCAGATATTACCTCGGATGATACCTCTACCTTTGTTGTGACGGCAGTATCATCGCCGGACCGTCTTCATGCTGATGATAATAGCAGTCAAGAGGTTCTCTACCCTGTACCGGACCCTTGGCTGCCCCCAAATAGTGTCAATGTGCACAAAACCTTCCGGGTTGGAGAAGAGGAGGCATGATTATTGCCCTATCCTTCCGCTCCATTGAGTATATGGTCAATTAAGGCCTGAGGTAGAACAGAGCTCAAACTAGTATTCCACACCTGGAGTATCTACTTATACCTAATAATGTAATGATGAAAATAAAAGTTTTTCTCTACTTCTGATAATTTGCCTTGTCATGCTTCAGCCCACTTATCCAGAAAGACATACTGATCTGTCTCTACCTCCCAGCCTGTTGGGATTCTCCATCTTACAATGCGGAATTTGTCATTATACCAGGACACACAGGCCTTATAATGTCGAGGATAACAGCGATGTTTACGGCGTGTACACATCTTCAACTATAAAACAGGCTCTTGTCCCAATGGCGAGTGCAAGGCAAGACGAAAGGCTTTGTATTCAACTATCAGTTATATCTAGCTGTATAATGAAATATCGGCCTTCGAATTCATGGTGAAACGTCAAGGGTTCAGGCTCTGGTTTGGGGTGCCGTCGATCAACCTCCCTAGCATTGTCAAGTCCACTTGAATCCTGATAAATCCAGCCAGCCTCTCCTATGAGCCCCTTCAATAGCACCTCGCATTCCAAAACGTATTGCCATTGGAGGGATTTGTATATTTGCGAATCTTGCAAGGATTCTTATTTTCCCGGCACTGCAGTAATCAGTAAGCGAACAAGTAGCATATGACAGCATATCTCTTACCGGCCACTTAGGGTCACATCCCCATTGAAGATCAATTTTACTTTGCTTAGACTTGGCCGGACTGGTCGGTGGGATTCTGTCCCGAGCCACGCATCTCCCGTATGTCGAGGTTTTTTTGTCAGCCATCGAGCATTCCTGTATGTAGTCAGCCATACGGCTTCTAGTCAGCGCGAGCATTGGTTGACTGACACCTTGATATGCTTCTTGTTCTTGTTTTATAGCATCGGTGAGTGGTGGTAAGACAGGCTCAGCGCCACCACCGGCTGGGGGTGCTCCGGCATGACTGACAGAGAGGATAGTAAAGGTCAAGAAAGTGAAAGTGGCTATCTTCATGCTGAGATGACTTGCCCACGAGACCGCTTGTCTACAGTATCGCTATTGGGAGCGTTATGTATATTGACATTTCAAAGGGGGGAATTGTGTCTCGTTTCCCCAGTCCTTATACTTTCTTTGACTATGCCCGCCAGTACCGACTTTGAACCCTCTCCCTTTCCCCCTTTCTTTTTGTGGTTCACGAATTGGTCCAGGCACTGGTAGAATATGGCATTTTCTTCTTGTTGAACTATGAGCAATTGCTAGGCTATATGCTGACGACCCACTCTGCAGGTTCGAGCATCGAGCTCTTGAGCCCATGTCTCAGGGCAAAGATCATTCCAGACCTCCACGGGCTGCATAAAGTTTGAATAAGGTTGCCAGGAAAGCTCGAAGGTTAACGCCCATGAAGCCATGGCGCAACTGGGTTTGATTAAGACCCACCCTCAAAGGTTCGCCGGTGCGATGTTCATATGGAATGGGACCGTGACACGGCATACGTGCTGGCCATGTTTCATACAAGTGTCTCTCCGTGGCGTTGTAATTTGTTTTAGAGATACTCTGTACATCGAGTCTAATTACTATGCAGTGATACATAAAGTTAACTCTTTCTATCACGAGAGTAAGGTTCACCGTGAGATACTACTTTCTGCCTAGCCAAGTATACGGTCAATGTTGAAATGGGTAAAGCCTTGTCTAAATTTCTATTTAATCATATTATGACAGGGTATAGTTTCTCTATCCGATAACTGTTGTTCAGTATTGAATCTCGAGCCGCATCAGGCTATACGCTCAATGATCCGGTCAACTGGATATCTAGAACACTCTTTCCAACATAGAGAGCGTAGTGCCCTGCCTGTAGTCCCCAATTCTGCTTCTCTGTATCCCAGGTGCTGAGGTCGCGACGAGTAAGGTTGAATGTCACCCGCGCCTGTGCACCAGGTGCAATGAGCTTCTTCTCGAATCCTCGCAGGACCTTGGCTGGGCCACCCGGGATGCCAACATAGAGCTGGGCTACTTCTGCCGCTGCCACGGACCCGGTATTAGAAACCGTGCAAGTCACAGTAGCGATGGTATCCCACAGTGAAGGGAGACCACCCTCAGTGACAGCAGTACCGGGAGCCAGGTAGCTAGTGCTTACGTCTGGCGAAGTGGAAACCTTCAGGTCAGAGTAGGAGAAGGTGGAGTAAGTCAATCCGTACCCGAACTCGTACCGTGGGGCGATATTGGCAGCCGCGAATGCCTTGTAGTCAATGTAGACGCCCTCGGTGAAGTTATCCTGGGGGTAGTAGATATCATCGGTACCGGATTGAATGACCGGGCTCAGGAGGCTGCCGTAGTCGGACTCTTGCTTGGCCACGGTATAAGGCAGACGACCAGATGGGGATTGCTTGCCGTACATGACCTCCACGAGGGCTCGGCCGCTATCCTGTCCAGGAAGATGAGCGTAGATGACCGCCGTGATGTTGTCATTGTCAATCCAGCGGTCTACAAGACGAACTCCAGCATTATGGATGACGACCATGGTGTTGCTACATTGTGCAGCGACGTTCTGTACCAATGTGTCAGAGTAAGGATCCGCCAAATATGGTCGATCCCAACCCTCTGAAGACTGCTCGTTGATAAACACCACACAGGCATCACTGGCTGGGTTCACCAGGGGGTTCTGGGATGCAAAGTCCCAGGCGAGGAAGGTATCATCATCATATGCCTGGCGCTGGAAGGCATTAAAGGGTGCGTCGATATAAGATGCGGTGCTGGCACCCGAGCCACCGCCAGTAATCGTCGTACCGTTAAGCGCAACTCCGGGGCCATAAAACCTGGGGTCTGTACTGGAGAGGAAGATATACTTAAGCATCATAGGGTCCACGGCTGAGCCATTAGGATATGTTAGAGTATTATCGTAGCCCATGGACCACATGTTCCAATCGAGGTCGTCCATAGTGTTACGAGCCGCAGCCACGGCATCATATCCAAAGAGTGAGAGGAACTGAGGTTTCTTAAGAGGGAGGGCATTGTTTGTATTCTTGACCAAGACATGTCCCTCTACTGCGCCTTGGAAGATGGTGGACTTGGACTTTGGATCGCGGGCGTCGGTAAGATTGTGGGGAGCGAGAAGACTGTATGGTAGGCCATGACCGGGGTTTTCAATCTCCGCATATTTATACCAAGTAGCAACAATGCGGGTGGCCATATCGTCAAGACGCGTGGAAGACAGCGACTCGTTCTTGACAGCCAGGGCAAGGGTGCCATTCTCCCAGTACGAAGAGGTAGGCATTACCATGTCTAGCCCGGCCTCTGCGCTGGCAATCCCAGTATGCTGAGCACCCCAATCGGTGACGACAAATCCTTGGAAGCCCAGTTCGCCTTTGAGCAGGCCATTCATAGTCTTGCTATTCTGGCAACCGTAGCTATTGTTAATCCGATTGTAGCTGCACATGACAGAGCCGGCACCTGCCTTGACTGCATCCTGGAAAGGCCACAGATACAGCTCATGCATGGTTTTATCGTCGATGTTGGTGGAGAGGGATTGGTTTAGACTGTGCTTCAACATTGATGGCGTCGACCGGTGCGCTTCCTGTTCATTTCCAATGAGATGCTTCACGCAGGCAATAACCGATTCTTGCATACCGCGAACGGTATCGCCAGTCAAAGCCCCGGACAGATAGGGATCATTGCTGAAGCCTTCCCAGTTGCGACCACCTCGGGCTATGCGGCCTATAGGTCCAGCCACTGGACCAAGTGCAACGTTGACTCCCTTTCGCTTGAACTCGGCACCCATGTATTGGGCGCGGCTGTATGTGAGGTCACGGTTCCATGAGGCCCCCACATGAACTCCTGATGCGTAAGCGTTGACCATATCCGTCCCTCTCACACCATTTCCGGCATCTTGGAGGCAGATCCCAGGGAATCCCAATCGTGGGACTCCTCCACTCGTCCCAGAGCAACCGTTAGTTGTAGAGGAATAGCCATATGTGATGTTGTTCTTCTCGTTGTCAGACATCTGAGCGACGAGCGCCCGGGCTTTAGTAAAGGCCTCTTCCCAATCCCCCAAGCCCTTTATCTCGGCTATTAGTATAGTATTAGTTATCTAAGCGGTGTCTCCGGCTGGGGCTTGAACAATGACGGCTTACGGGTTGGGTAGACGGGCTCTGAATGTCCATACGCCCAGTAGCGCTCCAGGTCGACAGCATCGGATGCACGATTCTGCACAGCAGCGGCGGCTGCTGGCTGCAGCGCAACAATTGTAGAAAGGGCCACTGACAGCTTCATCTTCGAGACGCCCACGCAGGGAAGTCGACAAAAGCACAGAAGGAGAAGAAGAAGAAGATGATGATAGGAAATCCGGCGCGTCCTTCTTGCCTGGATTCGAGGCGTGCGGATATCGCATGTCTCCCATGCTTTTATAGTCCTCATGGACACACGCCAGGCCCATGATCCCCCCATGCCAGACTCCGGAACTCCCCCAGACTCAACCTTTGGCCCTCTCTCCATCAGCGGTTCCCCCGCGATGTCGGCTTCGTATCTGTCGTCGGCCGGTGTTCAACATGGATTCTTCTAGGGTAATAACCCGACCAATCCCTAGCCCGGGTTGGAGAATTCCTGGTATAATATGTGGAGTAGCGGAAATTGCTTCGGTTCTGCTTTCCTTCAAGACTGTGGGGACCCCACATTCCACTCCCCACATGGTCGTTAAACGGCCTAAAAACCACGCGTCGGCAGAACCCCGGAGAAAAAACGACAGGCTGGGCGGTCATTCGTATTACGAGAAGTGTTCTGACTGGCTCTATCCAGAGTGTGGTTGGCCCACAATCCCATGTTGACTTGACCCTATCTGGTAGCCAAGACTGCTCTCACGGTGTCGGAGACAGTCCGGGGATTAAGCCATGACCCATGGCACAGAGAATGGTCTGGGGAAACATAACAGACTGCAGAGATCGGCACAAGGGTTCCGTGTCCGGCAGTAGACTTCGGCATCGCAGCATGCGATATGGCAAGTTGG